ACCTATTTTATTCAGCACAGAACAATCGACTGGCAAGTTGTATTTGATCATCAGCTAATACGAAATCTATGCAAAGAATAAAAAAAATCACTATTATGTAATTATACTCGCAATGACGCAGAGCCCATGTGTCCCAGTGGCTAAAGGTGCCCTGTGCCGCAAACAAGTTCGAAGGTTCGATCTCATGTGCACTAGTGTGGCTCACTAGGCCATTCGTCTCTTTGGGGTCGGTAAACTGGTACTAGATTGGTCTATGACTCGTCTGGTAAGATAAGCAGCACTGACTCGATACGGCGGGAGGCCACCGCGAGTCATTGTAAAGACCATATATGCATTCGATCACCTCAAACGAAGTTACATACTGAAGATGAATGTATGGCGTATTCCTCAGGGATTGGTCAATGCCGACAGCATTATTCTTTATCCTTTATTTATTAGCAATGACAACCAGGATTAAAAGCACATGTTTGGAAGTCCGACTTGCTACGACAGAAAGTATTACCACTATTAACCTATAAGTTTGAAGAGACAGGACTACTTGGTATGTTATTTTGGGAACTAATACAATTTAGGGAAAAAATCCATGCTATGGCATATGAATGCGCGTGGCGCATCAGAGGTGTCTGTTTGCGAAGTAGACGAGAGCGATGGTTCGATCACACACCCAAAGCTCATCAAGCTTCCCACCCCTCCGTAGTCGGCAAATTAGTAGTCGACTTGTATGGAAGAATAGCAGCACTGATTTGATGCATCGGTGGGCCATAGCGAGTCATTTGGAAAGCCAGATATTCACTCAATCACCTCTCTTTCTTGATAGAGTTGACGCACCCTCAGGGAATGATCAACACAAGAGCTCTAGAGTCTTGGTATTTATTGAGCGATCATAATAAAGGGGCGATGTATACCTCAACCGTGAGAGACTAGAAATAACCACGTTTCCGCTGATTAGAAGATCTCTGAAAACCTCTCGTATCGACTGTTAAGATCAAGCTCAACTTTCAAAAAGCCTGATAGTCGCTTTTTGAGCCACGCGTGTAGTCTTTTATGAGCAACATACAGAGCTCGACACACGTGCTTCGGCCTTGACAGCCTCGTCAGTAGGGCTGTACTCTTCGTCTTTTAGCCAGTCTTCTCAGGGGAACCCAACCCCTATAGAGACTAGGCGATGACGTCCTCTATCTATCAGCCCTTGAACAGACCACATGTATGGCTCGACAAAAATGATTATCAGGATCTGTGGAAAGGAAGACACATTCAACTCTATCAATCTTTCTCCTCTTTCAAAAATGATTCCTGATGAAGTAAGGAGGGATGTGGCGTTCGGCGTCAATCAATCTGTGAGATATGCGTTATGGATTCGACTACATTAATAAGAGAAAAAGAGTTTGAATGTATATTTAGCCCATACAAGGACTTATGAGAGCTTGCCATAGAGAAACCTGATATCAAATACTACCGACGCCTGGGGGATCTTCGGAGCGCGTGATTATGAGTAATGATAAAAGGGATAAAGGATAAAGCCCTTGGCGATGAGCATTCTCTGAGGATTGCGCCATGCATCGTTTTCAATTTCTAGTTTCGTTTGAGGTGACTGAATGCATATACGATCTTTAAGTGACTCGCGGTGGCCTACAAATGTATCAGTTCAGTGCTGCTACCTTCTTAGACATATCTGTACCAATTCACCAACCCCTGAGAGATGTTGGTGAATCTTGGGAGCGGACTCGAACTATCGAACATCGACCGATCAATCATGTGTGTCAGAGCACGTCTGACCAGTACGCCACACGCGAGTAATGACCGGCAAGTAGAAAATCAGCACTTTTCCATTATGAGGCGACTAATGAAAAGCCGAACTCATTCGCTGGACAGGAAATTTTCATAGAAGTGTTAGTTATCATTCGGGAGCTTAACCTTCTGGCTACAACTTTACGCGACCGGGTAAAATCCAAAAAAGAATTACGTTCCACACAACCTATCTTTTTTTATTTCGTTTATATTTCGTTAAACAAAACTCTTTTCTTGGAGTGCTAATTTTCATTCGATAGCACAAGTTCCGAAAAACTCAAATATGTGCTTTTTGAAAAAGCTCTTATGATAGCGCTGTAGGTAAAGCCAAGATGTTTTACACCCCGCCGGAAAGACCTCTTTCTTTAGACAACCAGTAATCAGTAATCATTCGATAGCGTAAGTATCAATGATTCCAACGCTGTGCTTATTTTCTGGATATATCGTTTGGCAGGAAAAATGGGATCGAGTTTGACATTTTCGGTGACATGTTTACCAACTAGTTCATGGGGTCGGGTAGGGATGGGGTGGGAGCGAATTGATCGATGCCCTGACCGTTGGATCTGTGGTATTTAACTGGTTTTCAGTTGGGAAATCTTACTCCGCTTTGGAAGAAACTCCTATAGAACGTTTGACTGAGAAAACGACAGTTTCTCTACACGTTGATATGCTTTTCGTGGTTCAGCAAATTATACGCGTGATAAAAATGAAGGTGCACGGCGGGTGTGGAACATAATTTTTATTCTGGATGCTTTAGCGTTATAAAACGGTGTTTTGAAAAACCAGCGACGTAGGGTTCTAGCCAGAAATTATGGTTTTCGAATGAGCACTTACACTCCTATGAAAAGTTCTGGTCCAGCTAATGAGATCGGCTTTCTATTTATCGCCTCATAATGGACAAGAACCGCAAAATCATTCCGTGTATAAAAACTGGGTCATAAAAAGCGTAAATCTGCACACATTCCCTAATATTTTACTATCTCTAAAGCAATCTTATGATGTTCTAGCTATATATCCAAGAATGTTGAGTGATATGCAAAATCTTGGACCTCGACGGGGGTTGAACCAGAGGGACGGTTCAGAGGTTCATGGGTAAGACGCGCCTTCAACTACCGCTCGAAATTCGAAGTTTTGCATATCACTCAGCACTTATAGATACAAGAATGCGAGTTTGGCCTCTTAAAAAAACATAAATAGGGCAATGAAGAAAAAAAAAGAACTCACACACTCCATATTCGACGTGTAACGCATAGGTGGTGTTGATTCGACTCCTTTGTGCAAAGCACGTCGCATAAGCGGACGTTGTTGGCGCAGAAGAGACAGAATGGCACGATTCATGTCTGAAAATTGGCAAAAAAAATTCAGTGAAAACCAAAACACTTCTCAAGGAGAGAGAGAGAGAGAGAGAGGGAGATAAAGAGAGAGACAAAGAGAGAACTCTCAAACAGAAAGGGGAAGAGAGAGAGAGAGAGAGAGAAGAGGGAGAGGAAAAGGCAAAAGTTCGTTTAAACGCCACAAAAGTACGGAACACTCGACCAGTTTACGAGGATTCTTCCCATTTTATCGCTTTAGTAGCAGAATTCCTCCCAAATGGTTTATAGCCTCACTGTGGCTGGAGGTGTTCCTCAGTGTCACACTGCGAACCACAGCGGGGAGGGTGTTCAATCCTTACAGCAGGGTCATCCAAGCCGAGGAAGAGTCCGATCTTTCGACTCGGAAAGCCCACCTAAGTCTGGAGCGTACCAGGAATGACTGCCATCTTGGTAACTACTAGTCGCAAGGTGATGATCTCCCTCTAGTCCACAAGACCGGCGACGGCTCTAATGTGGTGCTAACCTGAGGAAGCCCCTGGAAGACACCTTGGGACTCCAGGAAACAAACGAGCTAAACCAGCACGGTTTCCCAATGCTGGGTCCATACAATTCGAAAAGACGCATCGTCCATGTATTGAAGTAGATACGTAGCAGAGTTATGATGCCATGAGTACAAGGACAAGAGGGTTCAGTTCCTGCTCGAGGTTCGATATTTTGTATATCACCTGACGTTCTTGGATAAATTCTTTGATCAGCTGTTTGATCCCCAAAACTCTCCGGTGATCAATATCGAGCGCCTTTCAACCGCTCCACCCTGGTTATCCTCAAGACTGCAGGGAGACGCTCCCGGGTACTACTCCTTGGCGTTCGTAAAGGAGATGAAATCCTCAAGAAAGCTAAAAGAAGAACAGAATGCGAGAGGTACTGAGACCCGCACGGTGGAATAAAAAAGTGTGACACGGGTCAAATGAAGTGATAATGAGAATAAAGGATAAAGCTGTCGGCGTAGATCAATCCCTGAGGGATGCGCCATGCATTCGCCTGCAATTTTTAACTTCACCTGAAATGATTTGACGCATATCTGGCCTTCACGATGACTTGCGCTGGCCTCCCGCTGAACCGAGTCAGTGCTGCTTATCCTCCCAGACAAGTCTGAGACCTGTCTGGAACCAATTTACCGACCCGGAGGGATGGATGGCTTGGTGAACCAAGCGCGAGATCGAAACATCGACCACCGATGGATCGACTACATATGTGTGGCACAGCACTCCTGACCACTGCGTCACACACGTTCTTCAATATTCGATAAAATCAACAAAAAAAAACGGTGAATGTGGAACGATTCAGCTCGACTAACAGTGAGCTCTTTGCTCATTTATAACAACATAAATGCGGTGAGCACAAAGTGAATACGGCAAGAGCAACACTGATGATATTTGTCTTGGAAATTTGAGTGGTACGCAAAAATTTCACCTCAAGAGGAAGTTGAACCCGTGTCTCAGATTTTCCATGGAAGCGCATTACCACTACACCATCACGGCCAACACTTTGTGACCACTCTTTTATCGATATAACCTATTGAAGCAGCCACTAACCAACCTTTACTGGGTTTGGTTGGCCATGCACATATCGGATCCTGATATCTGTCAAACTCGGCACTGATCAACAGCTCACACACTTTCCATTGATGAGCCAAAACATACATAAACAAAGAAGGAACCCTGACTATTCCTAAATCTGAAGAAGAGAGAGTTCCTGAAGCCTCAGCTGTTCCAATAGATTTCTTCAAAATATTCGTGGTTGCGGCTTATTAAAAAGAATCTGTGGGCTACTGATCGATATACGTCTCAGGAAACATTCATTAATATACCTAGAAGAATTGAGTTGTTAGTAAAAACTCGACCTCAGTCGGGAGCTGAACCCGCGTTCCGCCTATACTAAGGGCGCGCGTTACCACTACGCCATCGCGGCTACTGCTTTACGATCACACCTTCTTCTATATATCCTGTCGTATGGTCAGCAGTTTACAAGTTCTCCATTGACGAGCCAAAATAGAGACAAACAAACACACAAACAAAACAAAGAACGCGATTGAGAAAACCTGATTACTGCTGACTCTGAAGAGGCCAACGTTCCAGAAATGTCAGCTGTTCAAATAGGACCTTGTGATTATGGCTCAGCAAGAAGAATCTGCGAACCATTGATCGATATGCATCTCAGAAAACAATCGATAATATACCTCAGAGAAAGAAAGGAAGGTGGCCAAAAATTCAACCTAAGGAGGGAGTTGAACCCGTGTTTCACCCATACCGCGGCGCGTACTACCCACAACACCGACGAGGCCATCACTCACCCAGCGTTTATTCTTCAATGATAGGATAAAGCTCCCTGAGTCGATCAATCCCTGAGAGATGCGCTATGCATTCGTCTTCAAATTTTAATTTCGCTTGAGGTGATTGGATGCATTTCTGGCCTTTACCAATGCCCTGGTGGTGGCCTCCCGCTGAACCGAGTCAGTGCTGCTTATCATCCCAAACAAGTCTGAGACCAGGCTGGTACCATATCAATCCCGGAGGGATGCATGGCTTGATGAGCCATGGGCACGGAATTGAACCATCGACCTTTAGTGCGGCGATAAGCACCTCACCACTGTGCCACATCAGCTTTCAATCTTCAATAGTCAGTAATATATTTCATTAACAATCGAAAGGAAATGGTAAGGAATGGAAAGATGTTTTAAAAGAATAACTGAGTATTATCTGCTGATAGAACAAAAGACAGGTCATAAGCGATCAATAACAATCAATATCCACTTGTTTAACCGCGAAAAATCAATATAATTTCCTGGCCCAAATATCACAGGTGTGATCTAAGAGAAACATCTAAAGGAAAGCCCCTATCGAAGCGAAACCCTCCTGAAATTAAGAAGCTGAGAGAAGGAGGCGGGCGGGCGGGACCTTGAATTATGACGCTCGGTCGTCAAACTTTGCCGGCAATCGTGTCAGGACCCACCAAAGGAACGCCTGGGGGGGTTGGTCCGTATTCGTTGGAAGTCGATAGCAGTCCTCTTCTCTACTCGCTCGGCTTTGCTGTCGTCCAGAATTCTAGATCGACTATCATTACTATTCATTTTGTTATTATTTAACCGCTTCTAGCGGTGGTATGTTTCCAATTATACCCTTTGATATCGAGTGATGCAAAATTCTCGCGTCAGGCGGGACTCGAACCCATATCTCAGTCTATCTGGGAGCGCGTGCTCTAACCCGTTGCACTACTGACGCCCTTTTTGCAGACCAGTATCATCTATAGATGCGTTGCGGCGCAGCAAGAGAGTGCAAAATGGGCGTCAGTGGTGCAACGGGTTGCAGCATGGGTTCTCGGATAGGGTGAGATATGGGGTTCGAGTCCCGCCCGGCGCGAAAGTTTGCACATCATTCCACATCAACGGGTATTCATTTTCTTACGAGCGCGCGTGGTGCAGTGGTTAGAGGTGCTCTGCGTCGCACTCAAAGTCGATGGTTCGACCTCGCTCTCGTGGCCCACCAAACCATCACATCCCTCCGGGGTCGGTAAATCGGTACTAGACTTGTCTGGGAGGATAGGCAGCAGTGACTTAATGCAGTGGTTGGCCACCGCCGAGTTGAACGAAGCTAAAATGAAGACGATTGCTTGGAAAATTCCCGAGTGATTGATTGATCATTGATGCCGAGAGCTTTATACGTTACTTCTAAAGATTTTGGGTGATGTGCGGGACCATGAAGCGCGGGCGGGAGTCGAACCGCGTCTCTCCCTTCGCGGAGCACGTGCTAACCATTGCGCTAGTGCTGCTCCTGTCCTGCTATTACGCTCTGTGATTAGTTTTTTATCATGTGTAACTAGTTTTCTCAGATGGTCTACTTATATTCAGCTATCGTTTTCATTTGAGATCTCACACAAACACGGAGTAATTTTTTCTTTATTTCTTCTTGTATTTGTATTGATGTCGTCATTGGTGTTAGAAAGCGAAGAAAGACATCTAGCCAGTATTGTTGAGTGAATAAAAAACTGTGACGGTGGACGGAATCCGACCCGCATTCCACCCTTTCAAGGGCGCGTACTATCCATTGCGCTATCGTCGCTCCGTCAGTATTGTTGCAGAGAAAGGGTGATGGCAGAACGAACGCTGGTAGCGCAGTGGTCAGCACGCGCCCCTTGAAAAGTGAAATGCGGGTTCGAATCTCGCTTGGCGTTCAAAGTTTTGCATTTCACTCAGCAATATTGAATAGATATTTGTTACATCATAGTGCCGCTAAAAGCGGTCATATGAAATCGAGAAAACTTGTCTTTATTAGCTGACGCGAGGTTGGTAAAGTAGTTGTAGAAATTCGGCTGACGTTTCGGCGACCCGCCTTCTTCAGAGCCTGGGCTTTGTGGTATTAGACTATTTGAATGATTCGGACTTATTATATGCTGCCTAGTCAGATTAGAGATCAAACGACGAAGGGCGTGAGATCTCGCGTGATGGTGACGCACTCGTCATTCCGGTTCATTCAGGGTTTTGGGCGTTTATCCAAAATGCCTCAAGAGTCTTGCGCTGGATGTTTTGATTCTGCGTTAGGATTGTGACAGTCACATTAAATCCTTGTTGCTGTGTTTTGAGCCCTATGTAAAAGGTGCCTAAAAGAAGTGATCTTGAAAATCCGCGGTAGTTATGAAATCCCACCTCCCACCCTACGCCATCAGCTGATCCGCAATAGACTTTATGATCAGTTGTGCAACACCAAAAACTGCATTATCTGCCCTAACGGAAAAGAGGGGGATTGTATGAGACCGGGCACAATTTATTTGCTAACATGTAAGACATGCGGGAAGAATATATAGACAAAACGGGTAGACCACTTTTCGTCCGCATAAAAGAACATCTAGATAGCAATTCTGAAATAGATACCTAACCTTTAGGTTTACATAGGGCACAAAAACACAGCAACAAGGATTTTCATGTGACTGTCACAATCCCAGAGCAGGAATCAAAAGCATCCACGCGCAAAACTCTTGAGGCATTTTGAATAAACGCCCAAAACCCCCGAGATGAACCGGAAGGACGGGTGCGTCACCATCACACGAGACCTCGCGCCCTTTCTTCGTTTGATCTTCTAACATGACCTAGGCAGCATATAAATAACACCGTCCGAATCATTCAAATAGACTAATACTACATACGCCCAGGCTCTGAAGAAGGCCGGTCGCCGAAATGTCAGCCGAATTTCTAAGTCTAGTTTACCAACCTCGCGTTAGCTAATCAGGATAAGTTTTCTCGATTTTCATATAGCAATTAATTATGCCGAGGTTTGTAGAAAGTCGAACATTTAAAAGCGGTCAATTGAAGGAATTCTGGTTGAGAAAAGATGGCTAGCAATTTCTTCTGATTGTGGATTGCAAATGCTCCTGGATGACGATGTTCGCTGTTCTGCTGCGGGTTCCTGTGGTTTCGCTTCCTTTTTTTTTCTGAGTATTTCACGTTTTACTTCGGTTGCTTGAGGATTCGTCTTCTTTACGATTGTCGTAGAATGCTGCTTGGGACGATCCTCTTTGCAATCTTGGAGGTAGGCTAACGCATTCCCTCAAGGCGTTCCTTGGTTGACCAAAAAGGAAATACCTGTCTACAGCCAACCGTCGACGGTTTGGCGGGCAGCCGCTAGCGGCATTGAGCCCACTTGTGCTGACAGGTATCGGGTATCGATAATCAATCAGAATTCTTTTTATCTGACCGCCCTTTGCGGTGGGATGATAGTAGGAAAGCGTGAGATCTGGGTTCGATTCCGGCTGACGCAAACGTTTTGCACAGCACTCCACATTATTTTGGTATATTAGAAGATCATAAAACCGCAAGTGGCGGTCAGATAAAAAGAATTCTGGTTGAAAAGGAATACCGTGTTGGATAGAGCTTGTGCCTTACTCATCACCCTGCTGCCCAATACACCGCATCATTACCTACTGCGCTGTCCCGCTACAATTTTTTTATAAGAGTTTTTGAATTCTTTGCTAAGGTTTCACAGCACATTCATCTTATCTGACTGGCTGCCACATCAGTGTGAAAGTATCAATAAAAATAAGAAAGATGGGGCGCTGTGGCCAAGTGGTTATGATGCTCGTGGCGGCGCAGTGCAGCCGAGTTCCACTCCTCCCCTCCCCCTTCCTTCCTCCTCCTCCTACTCTCTCCGTTGATCAACAACAACAACGCTCTAAGTATGCCATAGCTAGGCTATCCTCGAAATTATAAGGAGACTCGCTCAACCAGTATTCTACGACGTTCAAGAAGAAGACTTAAAAACGAATTGAATGCGAGAAGTACTGGGAGCCACACAGAGAAAAAAAGCATTGCTAAGACGGAAAGATAAACTGGTTTAAAGAAAAACTATAAGAAAGATTGCTGCTTTTAGTAACTTAATTGATTTTCTGATGTAGTAATGCTCTTTAAAACTATAAATTGTTCTCGAAAATAGTTTAATTGTTTTTGCTGTCGAAAAAAGTGCTCGTTTTCGTAAATTCCTTTGTGCACGGAACTGTCAAAAACCTTCCAGTCAACTATTTTGAGACCTCGCCTATAAATTCCGTGTAGTTTGACAGAATGTTTATCTTTCTAGAGGTCTACTCTACTATGACATCTCTGGTAGCATACGTACGTTTCGGCGTTCTCGCACCCCCTCATCAGTACCACTTGCGCTATGGATCACCCCTACTACTATCAGCAGTCGACGCCGAAGCAGTATCACTCTACTTCATATAAAAGTACCTTTTAATGTCGCGGACTAGAGTGATGTCTATTGATTGCATGGCTTACGGCTGTCACGGAAGCATATATAACAATACCGAATCATTTTATTTGACCGCCTATTGCGGTGTTATGATGTTTCTATAAACCCAATGATGTAGAGTGTTGGGCAGAAACGTTTGCGTCGGCCGAGATTCGAAGCCAGTTCTTACTCTTTCCAAGAGAATGTGCTAAACCGTTGCATCACCGACGCTCGTTTCTCACCGCATCGGAAAGAGTAACACCTGGGTTCGAATCCCAGCTGACGCAAACGTTTTTGCACACCATTCTACATAATTGGTTTTATAACAATACCTTCTACAATGCGAGATATGGCATTACTTTTTACAGTACATTATGCTTACGTAACAGCCGCAAGCCATGCAATCGGCAATGAATCACTCTAGACAGCCACGTAAAATGCTTCTTTTACTTGAAGCAGAATGATACTGCTTTGGCGCCGACTCCTGATAGTAGCAGGGATGGCCCGAAGAGCATATGGTGCTGATAAGGCGTGCGAGGACGCCGAAAGGTACGTGTACCATTAGGAATGCGATACCTCTGAAAAACTGACAGCATTCTGTCAAACCGTCAGATATCTCCACAAAATGAAAAACCCTTTGAATGACTTAACCAAATAGTTGAAATAAGAGGAGCATTGGTTCTTTTTTATTAAAAGGGAAGAAATGAAAACCGATCTCATTTGCTGGAGAGGAACTTTTCATAGTAGTATCAGTAACCATTGGAAAGCTGAGAATTCAGGGTACAGCTTCACGTCACCTGTTTTTGAAAACACCCCTTTACAAAGCTATAATATCCAAACTAAAAGCATGTTTCGTAATACCACGTGTTTTTCTTCTCTTATCTCGCTTATATTTCGCTGGACAACACTCCTTTCTTGTAGTGTTAGTGCTCAAACTATAGCACAAGCTACAGCGAACTCAAAAATGTGTGTGCTTTTCAAAAAGCTCTAGTGAGCTTTTGATCTCTGGTTTTTTGATCTGTGCTGCAAACCTCGCTGTACAGAGCTCTTTCTTCAGACCATTTGTAATCATCTCTTAGCGTAATGCTTCCTCATTCTAGCGATGTGCTTAGAAAACACGGTTTAGCAAGGAAAATATAATAGATTTTTACATTTTTGGCAGCTTTATTCACCGATTATTCGGCAAGACGAGGGCCGTGGCAGGGAGCGTGGCGGGGGCGGGACGAGGCGGGACGATTGATATATATGCTTTTCGGCTTCCGGTGAATTATCGCGTGATAAAAATGAAGGCAAAAGGTGAGTGTGGGACATAGTTTTTGATCTGAATGCTACAGCGTTATGAGGGGTGTTCTAGAAAACCGGTGACGTGGGGCTGTAGCCTCACGTCTCAGCTTTCGAACGGTTACCAACACTCCTATCAAAATTTCCTCTCCAGCGATTGAGGTCGGCTTTTCATTTGTTCCCTCCTAATCAGAAAGAACCGGAACAGCACCTATGTCAGCTCTCGTCTCGTTGATCGACGAGTGACTCGAGCTGGTACCAGGAACACTTCCATTTTTCCCTATTGCGTGCAAGAGTAGCCCAGTGGGTCCTCCTCGCTTTAGGAATTTCCTGAGCATCATATCTTTCTTCTATAACTTTCGTGAGGAATCGGACCAACGATTCGGAGGTCTTACTGTAGAGCGCTTGATGTCCCGAGGAATTCAGTCGTTAGCGGCTCACGTCCATCGGTTGTCGTTGAAGCACATCAGTGTCCGGTCCACGTTATTTTCGATATCGTGGCGTGTAGAACGTCATCTCTGATTTTTTGACGACTGACATAAGAAGAGAGGTTCGACAAGGCGATACAATTTCGCCAAGACTGTTCACTGCCACCCTACAAAACGTCATGCGAACATCAGAATCGGACGGTATAGGAGTGAAAATTGACGGTCGACAATAAAACATCTTCGCTTTGCTGACGATATCGTCCTCATAACACCAAACATTAGCCAAACCAAACGAATGTTGACCGATTTCGATGCGCCTGTGAAAAGATTGGTCTTCAACTAAATCTAACGAAAACGATGTTCATGAGGAGTGGATGGGTTCTGAATCTCCATTCACGCTCGAAGGAATGACAATCTCGGAATGCTCCAGTTACGTCTGTCTAGGTCATGAAATCAACATGATGAACCACTTAGCTCCAGAGTTGAGCAGGAGGAAATGATCGGCTTGGGGAACGTTTAAGAGCATCGAAGATGTACTGAAGAGGACTAAGAACATTTGACTCCGTGCCCCCTTTTCGACTCGACAATCATCCCTGCCCTAACGTATGCAGCAGAAACCTGGTCGCTACGTAAGCAGGATGAAAGATCACTTGGCGTTATTGAACGCGCAGTCGAAAGGTCGATGCTAGGAGTATCCCGTACCTTGCAAATGAGAGAAAGGATCCGAAGTTTGGACGTACGTCAACGA